ATTAGCAGAAAATGATCATTTTTACTTTTGAATGAACACTTTAAAAAATTCTACTAGAATAAATGAGGTACAAATTAAATACTATTAAAATCAAAGATTATCGCACTGCTATTATTTTGCCAGTGTTCTGTTCCCATGAAAATATCTTGGGATACTTTCTTCAGGGTTGGAGCGATAGCACAGTGATAGGGCATTTGCCTTGCACACAGCCAGACCGGCCGAGCCGGGTTCAGTTCCTCCACCCCTCTCAGAGAGCCCGCCGTGGCAAGCTACCCGTGACGTATTCAATATGCCAAACACATAACAACAAGTCTCAAAAATAGAGACGTTACTGGGCCCGCTCGAGCAAATCGATGAACAACGGGAGGACAGTTTACAGTTTTCCAGCTTTACTTTCTTCAGTGAAAAGTACAGATAATAGTAAGGAATCATAATAATCTTTTTAAATAACTCTGTTTTAGTAGCATATAGTTTGTATCAATATTGCCAGTTGAACTACATATTACATTTATATAGAACATTATTCTTGTATTACTTCCCCGTGTATTCACTCATCTTAGATTTCCAGTAAAATTGAGAAAGAAATTATATTTCTCATTTTCAAAAGAGGAGTTCTGAAACTTGCCTTTAAATTAATCAGTGCTTCTTTCGTTAGATGATTTAGCATAATGGAACCCTGCTGTACTCAGTATATAGTGACCCTGATGACTAAGCCATGACATAGTTAATATTCCCATTTCCTCTCATTCTAAGATACCAGCAGACTTGGTGAGGCATGACTGGTTACAGCCTGAAATAACTCAGCTTGCTAGGAGGTGACCTCACACACTGATCTAGTGATAGAAAGTTATGGAAATAGTTTATTTGGCCTTAATAATTCCATTCAGTCCCAATTGAAAATGTTAACATGATATCATTTATGTAATTGTACGTTGATTAAAAACAAATATGTTTAAGTGTTATGAATAAATCTTAGTCTTGGGCAATTTTAATCAATTTGAATGTTTTAAGCACCATTTTGTCTTTACTATTTCTTCTTCAATTTAACAGGATTCATTAGGTGGAAAAAATTGCATGAAAATACTTTTCTAAAGTAACATTAAGAGCAATTTTTCATTGAAATACGGGAATTCAATTCAGTTCAGTAAGTTTATATTGAACACTTAATCCATAAGCTGCCCCATTTTATGCAAAGATAAGTAGTCACTATTCTGCTTTGGAAGGAATTTTCAGTCCTTCTTTAAAGGATGATGTCTTATAAATGCAAATGTACTTGAAAGAGATTACTAGTAAATGTGTTATTTAGTGTTAACTATGATTTGTTCTACATTGAGGGAAGAGTATCAGAAAAAGCAGAAATAGTTGGTTTCAGATTGAGGTATATGCACATAAAAACAATATAAAAAATATCTCTAGAGAAAGAAAAATGTTTTGGAAAAATATGAGAAAGAAATTATGGTGGATTGAAACAGAAGAAGCAGCAACAAAGTTCCCATGACACAGATAATGAGTCTTAACAGAGATCCAAAGAGTGTGTAGAAAGGAGCATTCTCATATTACAGACATAATATAAGTAAATTAAAGTATTTTATTTCATGAATAGCTGGTACAGATTACTAAATAAGCACAATATGGAAAGCAAGAACCTTGTAGAAGATTTTGAACACTTAATCTCTGAGGGAAGATGCGATATAATGAGAAACTAGTACTGACCCAGGTGCTCAATATGCAAACTTTAGCTGTGATATTTATGACTGAGTGAACTTGAACAAATTAATTCATCTTTTCTACCTCTTCACCTCCCATAAGGAGGTAGTGACAATTGCTTTAAAGGCTGGATGTAAAGAGAAAATGGCTGTGACTACCCTGAAAATTATAAAGCATCAACAGGATTGTTGCTTTCATCTTTGTTATCTATGGGATAGTACTCAAAAATTTTAGAGATGTGAAGGTTTTTAATTACATCTACACTTTGGAAAAATAAGCTAGTCCAGAACTGTATCAGATAACTAATAATGATAAAAGAAGGATAATTAATTAGGATGCTATTAAAGTGATTCAAGGTAGGAATAGAGAATGTGGTTAGGTGGTCATTCAGGTCATAAAAGAAAGGTGGGGACATTATTCAGTCAACATTTGTTTATATATATACATATGCGTGTATATATATATATATGTGTGTGTATATATACATATATATTGAATACCCATTCTGTTATAAACTTTGTGTTAGGTACTAGGCTCACCAGATAAAATTTCAGCCTTGTAGGGCTGGAGCGATAGCACAGCGGGTAGGGCGTCTGCCTTGCACACAGCCAACATGGCCGACCCGAGTTCGATTCCTCCGCCCCTCTCGGAGAGCCCGGCAAGCTACCGAGAGTATTCGATATGCCAGACACAGTAACAACAAAGTCTCCAATGGAGACGTTACTGGGCCCGCTCGAGCAAATCGACGATCAATGGGAGGGCCTTTTAGGTCTCATCAAAGGCTAAAAGGTTGCACAACTCTATAAACAAGTAACAGATATATAAACAAGTAACTGCAACAAAGGGGACAAGTGTTGATGGGTATTTGGAAAATGTGGCACAAAGAAAAGCAAGTCAACATTGCTGTAATTGGGAAGACTTCGGGCATGTGCAAAGCATCCTGGATTCAGATGGTCCAGGGAGGTCCAAGTTAAACTATGGCTAGAGGTAGCTATGTCTGTTTAGAGGCAACTCCCAATATGGCAATTTCAACTGCTGTTGCAGTACAGAAAATCTCTTAACTTCTTAGGTAAAGGTAAAGGTAAAGGTAAAGGCCCTCCCGTTGATCGTCGATTTGCTCGAGCGGGCCCAGTAACGTCTCCATTGGAGACTTTGTTGTTACTGTGTCTGGCATATCGAATACTCTCGGTAGCTTGCCGGGCTCTCCGAGAGGGGCGGAGGAATCGAACTCGGGTCGGCCATGTTGGCCGCTTGTAAGGCGAACGCCCTACCCGCTGTGCTATCGCTCCAGTCCAACTTCTTAGCATTTTCATAATTATCTGTACTTTTGTAGACATTTTGATTCATTTCTGATTGAGTCGCATCAGATAGATATAAATGGATTATCTTCAAGGACATTTTGGAGAGTTGTCAAGCACAAAATGTATATGTGAAAGACATTCTCATGTACATTATCCAGAAATAATTGATACAGAATTGACAAGGTCAAATTGAGGTTGAATGTACACATCTGATGTCTAATCTTAAATACTTTGTATTTATGAATTTTGGTTCTGAAATATCATACAGACTATGATGAGTAAAAGAGCAACTATAAAAGAAGAGGCCAAGTGGATCATCTTTAATGGATGAGCTCAGGGACACATTGGATAATGAATAAAACAGGGATGGAATAATCATTTCACTTGTTATGTAATTGTTTTTGAAATATCTCCTGTGAAATAGTTGAGGCTTTTTCCAGTAAAAACACATGGAGGTCAAGGAGAAAAATCAGAACCCCATAACAAGAGAGACTCTATGGAAAGTGAAGCTGTAGAAAGGGATAGAGTTAGGAATTTGGAAAAGGTGGTTTTCAAAGCTTCAGTTGGGTAGTGACAATCCCAGTAAGATTTGGCCAGTTCTGGACTAGGTGAATAATTGGGAGCATGTTGAAAGCCATCGTGGAGTCTAGCACAAAATGCTACTCTGACCACAAATTTGGCAATCCTGCTTAGAAAACTTCTCAAAGGACAGCAGGATAGAAGCAGAGTGGTGTGGACAGATATTCATGGAGCAGAAATGGGAGGGGAAAAGGAACATCGAGGGTTCCTGGATCCTGGATCCTCCCTTTGCTTTATAGAAGAATCCCCTGCATAATATCAGAATTGGGAAAGTCCAGAGGTCCATGAACTCAACCCACCTCTACAAGTAGGTTTGTGGTCAGTGATGATTTATGTGATTACATGAGGTTTGTGGTGAGTATGATTTACATGCAGTCAGTAAATCCTTCCAGAGTAGATCTGGACACTCTCGCTCTCCCCTTGTCCCTGTAAGAATTTGTACCTTGAAGTCACTGGTACAGAAGAGTTAAGGGAGATTCTTGAAGGAGGCAGAATCCCCTTCACTCCCCAAGCCCCAGCCCCCAAAGGATGTGAGAAAGTATTTTTATGGAAAGAGAATGTCACATTTTTCTTCATATGAATCTACTCCAACTTTTATGAAAGCTTAGGTTTGAATGTGGAAGGAAAATCAAGAAGTAGGGCTCAGAATCTATTTGTAACCTCCAAGTCCGCTTTCTGGTAATGAGAAATTCATTTAATTTGTGATCATTTAAGAAATGCAAATATCATCTAGGAGGTGATCCTGAAGAATAAAGGAAGTGAATGAAAGAATTGCCCTTCACCCCTCTTTCACAAAGTTTAGTGAGAGTGTATGTCAAAGAGCATGTGATGGATTATTGCACATTGAGCTGACATTGTCATCATAAAGGGGGTCATAAAAATGACAGGACTGTTTCATGTGTGATTTGTTTTTTCACTTCTCTGTGAATGACATTTTTATGAGAACCAAAGTGATGTGTGGGGATTTTTCAAAACTCAGACTAAAATGCAGTTCTAATAAAATAAATCTTCTAATAAAGATCCCTAAGGGTTAAGAGTTCTTTGTGTGTTCCTTCAGAAACACCCTATGATTTTTTGTGGGATCGAGTCCAAAAGAAACAACCCCCTTTGCTTTTGCCATGGTGCGTTTACTCGTAGGTTTTCTCTTTACTCCGGGAACTTAGGTGTAAGTGAAAATAACGGAGCCCTGGGAATCTTTTTTGAGCACTACACGGGACATGGGGTGAGCCACAGAATCAAGCGTTGGTAAAATTGGGGGAAAGTATCATAAAAGTTGGTTTTGCGTACCTCCCGCTGAAAAAACTTTCTTTCTAATCTTGTTTATTCCCAATTCTTTTATGTCTTCTAAGGGCTGCTTTACATGCTACTAGCCTGAATTCCGTCTGAATTACAATATTGTATGTTTTCCCCTAGGAGATGACCTGGCTTCCACCCCTTTCAGCTATTCAAGCACCCAGCAAAGTGGAAGCAACCAAATTTCCCTTCCCAAATAAGGTGAGTTCTTTTGCAACTCAAAAGGATTATGTAATGTTTGCACGCTGATTTTTATAGACCAATGGGTTTACCCTTGATTACCTTTTCTTCTGTAAATATCCCAGCCAGAGGTGTATACATCTGATAGTCACCTCTTGCAAACTTATATTCATCAAAGACAGCCAAGCCTGCAATTCTACCTGCACTTCCATATTTTCTAGAAAATGTGATGAGTATTATAGTTGTCATTTTAATCTGAAAACATTTATGAGATATAAATGCAATCAATTTTATCTGTTTGATATAATGATATGTCTTATTTTTCTGAAAAACTTACTAAATTAATGATGTACCTTAAAATCAATATCTTAGAATTGAGAATTGAGGGCATGCAATATTTAATTTCGCTTGGTGTTTATTGTATAAGCTTAAAACATTTTCTAGTACTTGAAAAGTATTTCCATATGTTCTATATTGCATATTTTCTAAGACAAGCATACAAAAATATCAGCCATGAAATATTTAAATTATAAATGAGCCTAACCACTTCACTTTTTAACCATACAACTAAAACATACTCATTATAAAGATAAGATTATACAAACAAAAGAAACTATGAGAGCTCCTGGCACCCTCATCCAGATTTTTTGTACTCTCAGACCATATTTACCTTTCTAGGGATTACTGTTTAAAGTTTGGTGTGTGTATCACTTCAGTCATTTTCCCCTTTGCGTTGTGTACCTGTATGTGCATATGAAGTTTTGTTCTTGTCACAGTCCTCCCATTGTTCATCGATTTTCTTGAGCGGGCCCAGTAACGTCTCCATTGGAGACTTTGTTGTTACTGTGTTTGGCATATCGAATACATCACAGGTAGCTTGCCAGGCTCTGCCATGCGGACGAGATCCTCTCCGTAGCTTGCCGGGCTCTCCGAGAGGGGCGGAGGAATCGAACCCGGCTCGGCCGGGCCGGCTGCGTGCAAGGCAAAGAATACTTTGTAGAAACTGGCCTGTCCCAGATATCTGTAGTTCATAAATATTAAAAGTATGCTAAATAGTAATACCCCAACTTTCCAGCGTGAATTATTTAAATCATGTTCATATCACAATGGCAAACTCCATTCTGAAATTTGATTTTTTAAAAATTTCTCTTAACACAGTATATTTGGCGATATTCCCAAGTAAAATATGTAGAAACGTTTTTATTATTCTTAATATTAGCAAAAATATTTCATAATGTGAATTTACTGAATTTATTTAATCAAGCATTTTTGGTCAGGTTATGTGGTGGTTTATAGTTTAATTTTTTAAAATATTTCACCACCCATTAGTGAACGTCTCTCCTCTCTCCCTTTCTCTGAGACTTCGCACAAGTGCACAAGTGCTGTGGTGTTGAAGACATTATGATTCATATGTACTTCAAACTGTGTTCCAAGGGTACACTCATGCAGATCTTTGCCAGTGTTCAGTATTGTTTTTACCATATTACCTGATTGTGAAAAATTGATGTTATTATTTTAATTTTTACTTACCCGCTTTTGAATTTGATTATTGACTTTTTCCTGTGTGAATTGTCCATCCTTACCTATTGCTATTGTAAAACTTATTTGTAGACATCTTATATCCAAACTCTGGTATCGAAACAGTGCTCTGTTTTGATCTAATATTATAGTTTTCATTTTGTGTTTTTAAAAAATGTGGATGAGAGCTAGAAGGATAGCAAAGTGGGGGGGGGGGGGGAATTATTTGCTTTGCATGCGGCCAACCTGAATTCAATCCCCAGCATCCCATATGGTCCTCCAAGCACCACCAGGATTGATTCCTGAGTGCAGGAGCCAGTAGTAACCCCCGAAAAAAAATATGAATGATATAATGTTGGATTCTAGCTCTGTTATTTTCATTGGTTAATTATTATTATTACATTGTCAGTGAGTTAGCCCATTTATACACACACACGCACACACTCACACACACAAACACATACACATACACACATCTCTATTAGAAACCAACAGAATCTATTTTTTAATTCATGGCTTACCTTCAGTCTTGCCAGTTCTGTTCTTTGTATATGTTTATCTAACTCTTTCCCACAAACTGATAGTTAAAATAAAAGTCTGCACACATTTTTTTGTAAAAGATCAGATACTAAATAATTTAGGATTTGTGCAGACATTAACAAAATTAATGTGACTGTGTCAAAGTAAAATTTTATTCACAGATATAGTTCATAGCATGATAAGCAAGAATTCAGCAATAAAAAGATGGCTCACTTTTAAATAGACAAATGATTAATTGTAATAGCATTGGTTCTTGGTTCACATATTACAGATGTTCATGTGTCTCTGGGTACACTGTCGCAACACCATGCCCACCTAGGCAATGTATGTAACAACTCTTTAATCCCACCATGCCCACCTTTCATATAACCTCAGTCCTGCTGCGCCTGGGGCTTCTGCTGGCCAGCTCTATGTCTTCCTGAAGACTCTTCTCTCCATTTTTTATTTTTTTGAGTCTTTATATATATCGAGAGTATTCGATATACCAGACACAGTAACAACGAAGTCTCCAGTGGAGACATTACTGGGCCCGCTCGAGCAAATCGATGATCAACGGAAGGGCCTTTACTTTACTTTTACTATATATATATATATATATATATATATATATATATATATATATATATATATATGTTAGCCCTTTGTTAATAGATGGCATCCAGATATTTCCACCTATCCAGAGTGGATTTCTTTTGTTTCTCTTGCTGTGCAGAATCTTTTTAGTTTAATGCAATCCCATTTACTTATTTTTGCTTTTGTTTTTCTTGTTGTTGGAATTCATACCCAAACCAGCACAGAAACCAATATCATGAAGTGTTCTTTCTTAGGTTCAGTTCAGTGAAGGTTATGGTTTTGTGTCACGTCTTTAATCCATTTTAAGTTAACAAGTCAACTGATGTTCATGGAGTGAGAGAAAGATTCAGTTTTATTCTTTTGCTGTTTTATTCAGTTTTCCCAGGACCATTCATGGAAGAAATTTAACTTTTTCTGTCTGCTTTTTGATCTGGTGTTTGTTTGTGTATATGTTCATACATGTGAGGCTTGATTTCGAGCTATTCTCTATTTCACCAGTCTGTGGTTGACTTTTATTCCAATAGCAGTGTTTATTTGAATGACTCTAGATTTGTGTCATAATTTAAAGTTAGAGAACAGGATGCCTACAAACGTTTTGCTAGTATTGCTTTTACTAGCAGATTTCTTCTGGTTCTATGCAAATTTCCATAATGTATGTTCTGTTTCCTAGAAGAATACCATAGGAATTTTAAGTTTCTTTTAAGTCTGTGTAATGCTCTGGGTATGATGGTCTTTTAATGACACTAAGTTTTCAAATCCATGAGCACAGAATATCTTTCTGTTCCTTGTCTTTTCTACTTCTTTTAGCAGTGACATAGGTTTGATGGTTAGGTCTTTTGCCTTCTTTTCTAATTTTATTCCTAAATACTGTCCAAAAACTGTCTTTTTGAGACAGTTGTAACTGGGATTGTTTTCTCAATTTCTTTCCCCTTTAGTTTGTTGTTTGCAATAGAAATTAACAGATTTTATGCATTGATTTTGTAAACTGACACTTAACATTATTGGTCTTATTTCTAGTAGTTCATTAGTAAAGTCTGTAGCTTTCTCTGGTTATTAACCTGCCATCTGCAAATATTGATACTTAATCTTTTCTAATTTGTTTCCCTTTTATTTCTTCTTCCCTTATGGCTAGGATTTCCAGTGTTATGTTGAATGATAGTGGTAAGAGTGACCTTCCTTGCCTAGTGCCTGATTTTGGAAAAATTTCCTGCTTTTCACCATTAAGTTATGTTAACTGTGGGTCTGTCGTATATGGCTTTTACTATGTTAAAGTATGTTCTTTCTATTCACATTTAGCCAAAAGATTTTTTTTCTTTTGGGGTCACACTCAGTGATGCCTAGGAGCTACTCCTGGCTTTGCACTCAGGAAATACTCCTGGCATGCTCGGAGGACCATATGGGATGCTGGGAATCGAACCCAGGTCTGCTGCGTACAAGGCAAACTACCTACCCACTGTACTATTGCTCCAGCCCCCAAAGATTTTTTAAACAAATAGATATTGAATGTTGTCAGTCTTTCTCTGTATCTGTTAATCTGATCATGTGGTTTTTAATCTTTGTTTTCATTGATGTAAATATTACATTTATTGATTTTCATGTACTCAACCATCCCTGCATTTTTGTAATAAATCCCAGGTGATTTACTCCTACTAACACTTTTCATGGAGACATCATGTAATAGGGATAATAGGGATGTATGAGCCTCTGAGTATAGTGCTGAATTTTATTCACTAGTATTTGTTGATGATTTGTATCTGTGTTCATCTTCCATGAACCTACTAAAGATTGTGTAATCTTATTTATCTTTTACAAAGAAGCTGCTCTTTGGTAATTTTTTTTATTTCTACTTTGTATATTTCCATTTTGACTTTGGGGTAGGCTTTGAGTTTCATTTGTTCTTCTAGTTCCTTAAGGTTCGAGGTTATATTGTTCAAGATTTTATTATTTCCTGATGTAAGTCTGTATTCTATGAACTTCCCTCTTAGCATTGCTTTTGCTGTTACATGTCTTCTGGTAAGTCGTGTCTTCGTTCTTATTTATTTCCAGGAATAGTTTAATTTCTCCTTTGATTTCCTTATTGGCCCAGCATCATGCTATTTAATCTGCAGATATTTGATTTTTATCTTTATTTATGTGATTTATTTCTAGTTTTGTTATTTAGAAATATGATCCAAAAAGATTGTTGATATATTTTCAACATTTATCATCTTATCGATGCCTTTTTTATGTTTCTTGTTGTGAATGTTGCATGTGCCCCAGTGTAGAGTCTGTTAAACTGGAGGCTGCTGTCCCAGCTGGGATTGGTAACTGAATATGGGGTGATCACATAAAACGATTTAAATAAATTTTTATTTGTTTATGAGTTGCTTATCTATTTTATAGACCATAGT